AGGCGAAGGCCGATCCACCCGAGCAGGGCGCCACCCCGACCCCTCGTTCCCCGTTCTGCAGCCGCGGGAGAGCCTGCCGGTTACCGGGTCTCGGGGCGTCCGTCCCGGCTCCTGCACCGACCCCCGACCCCTCCGCCGCCCGGTCAGGTCGGAGGCCCGCGCCCTTCACAGCTCCGGGCTCCCGCGCCGCTCCTGCCTCCTGCTCGCTGTTCCCAGTACCCCGGCCCAGCACCTCATCTCCACTGCCTCCCCGACGCCCGCTGGACCGTCTGCCCCGCACCCTCCCTCTCCACGCTTTCGCTCACATACCTGTATCTGTAGCGTCTGAGGCTGCGCCTGCCTTATCCTCAGCATTCCTGATGCCCCTACCCTCCTTGCCATTGAATTTGGATACTTATTAAAAAATATCTGGCGCCGCGCCCTGACTCTCACTTACCCGAAGGGTAGTGCCCAGGCGAGGTCTGAAGTGCGCGTGCGCAATCGGGTCTCCCCAGCAGCTGCCTACCAGGGTCTCTTGAGCGAGGCCTGGGCCCAGACCGAGGCTTGCAGGTGAGCCTCGCCGAGCCCCGCGGAAACCGGGGGAGCACCATCAATCTCAAGAGCTGGAGCAGAAAGTTAGGTAGGGTTATTGTAGTAGCTGAAAGGTCTCTCATTGGACAGTCCATGAATGTAACTTGTATAGAGCGTATTTAATATATGTTTATGATCTGCCCCTCTTCACGCAGATGTAGCTCTGCGAGGAGGGAACTTTGTCTTCCTTGCACAGGAGGTTGATCTCCAGCACTAGGAGCTGTTCTGGTGTCTAGAGCCGGGACACACATGTGGCTGAAGGACAGTGAGGCCAGCCGCCACCTTGTTAACGCGGAGGTGAGCGGAGCTGGCGCGTGTCCCCTGGGTCGAGGGCCGGGTGTTCTGAAGAATGCACGCACTCACCTCTCTGCATGATCCCCTGGCTCCGCCTGCACCCCACGCTGGCAACATCGCACACAGTGAAAACCTGGTAACGCTCTTCTGACAAGTACACAGATACTTTATTCGGACTGTGTGCACTTGCAAAAAGTAAAGACAGATGATTTATACCCGGAATTTCCTCTCAATTGCCAGACCCCTTTTGGTTTTGTGATCGCTAAGGCAGGCGCCAAAAGGCATCATCATCTTGCAGTGTTGATTGAAAACGATTTACGCAGGCTAATGTGCTGGGGCTCCGCATCATCCGCCCGTGAAGCTCGGGTGTCCTGCCACACACAGCCACTGCGAAAGGTCGAATGGGTGCTGAGACGGCAGTGCGAGGCCAGGACACCAGAGTTAAATCTTGAAGTAAAGATTTCCTTGAAGTCAAGGAGGTTTCAAGTGGGCTTCTCTGCAGAGGTCCTACCTGCTGTCTTCACGTGCAGAACACACCCTGACCTTCCCAGCATCTGACCACTGACAGCTGGCCCTCGTGTGGAGTGGACCCTCTGCGTGTGACAGTCGCACACTTCATCTTTACCTTCTCCCGAGGTGGAACCCCGAGGAGTAGTGATGCTACAAAACTACTCAGCTTTTGTGTTCAATTTTGGGCAGAGAAGGGAAATACCATTTCTCTGCAAGAGCTTGCATTTAAGCTGAAGGCAAGCCTCTGTTTGGAAAACCCACACCTTCTTCAGTAGGGTCCGATCCAATCTGAACTCTGTATGTATTGTAGGGCTTGGCAGCAGAACCCCTCCAGGGGCTATGCGGCTTTGCAGGTTTAGACCCTGCTACCTGTTCCACAGAAGGACGTGTAGCCGGGAGACTGGACACTTACTGTTGTCGTTGGCTGACTGTGGCACTAACCCTGGTCTTCAGAAAGTAGGAAAACAAACTGTCGAACTGCAGCATAGAAACAGGATGAGGAACATGCAAGTGACAGTGTCTAGATTGGGCTGGGAAGGAGTCGGGACTAGAGGGCCGGAACTGCAGTCAGAATCTGGTAGCTATAACTTACATTCATTTGTTGGAAAACATTTTTGCATTAAATATTTTAAGTAAAACAAAATTATATCCTCCAGTGACTTAAAGATGGCAGTGACACTTCATTACCACTAGCCCCAGCCTCAGGATCAGCGCATGGCCCAGTTCATCGGAACCAAGAAACATTTGTTAATTTCATTGATCACATCTTAGTCATCACCTTAACTTAGAGCAGGAATTTGAATAAAGCAGTGAAACTCCAGGCAAAGGGTGGTTGTAAAGGCCTGGTTTGAAGCTGAGTTTATCTTGCCCTGTTGCTGAGCGCCGACTGAGCCCCGAGATGGTCGATGCCTGCTGATGAAAACAAACTCTGGAGGGTGCCATCAAGCTCACCCAGGGGCTCCGCCACAGCACAGGGCTCGGTGCGGTGTCTCCCTTGTGGCCATGTCTGCCAGGGCCGGGAACATGACCCTTAGGGCTGTGGAGGAGAGGCAACCACAGTTCTCAGTATCGTCAATCTCCAATACATGAATACTACGGCACATGCAGTGCTGTTCTGACAGGCACAATGAGGACTGGCTGCCAAACACCAGGGGGAATTTCCAACTACGCAAGTGGTCATCGTTTTTTGAATGAAACGAATAATGGGAAGATGGCTGTGGCCTATTGTCCTCCTTTTCATTTCCCTGAGCTGGCTTAAACCAGAAATCCAGCCCTTACTAAGTGCCTCTTCTCATAATGGAAATGTCTCTGTGGCCCAGAAGGGATGGTGACACAGGTGACATTTGCAGCTTTCTTCACTGACTGCAGCGCCATTTGGGTGTCAGTTCTCCAGGGGGCTGGTGATTCCTGGGAAGTTAGTATTACGCTCTTCTTTCTTTCTTTTTGGTGTTGTCTCCTGTGGGTACCAAGGCACTCATGTTGGTCCCACCAGCAACTGCAACATTTTCTCCTGTTTCAAAATCTTGCGACACTGCCGGCTGAGACACAGCAGGACAAGGCACACAGGGTGATGCCCTTGGGCACAGTGGGGTGAGAGGAGGTGTGAAACACTTCCCAGGTCCGTGTGCTCAGCTGGACAGTATTTTTCACATTTATCTGGCATAAATCCATAGTGCAACACATAGTTGCCTGGTACAAAATTACCTATGCTCAGTATGACCTTGGTCGGAACGGCTTATGTATCTGATTTGCACATCGTGGACACACCCGGTAGTGGAACATGCATGTCAGCTTTTCTTTGCTGTCCCAGATGGAGCATTCTCCTGAAGAATACAAGTCCTTTCTCTTCCTCCGGCCTCGAGGGGACTGCTGCAGTGGTCCTGCCTGTGTCCTCTCGCAGGTCACTGAGTCCTGTACAGTGGATGACTCCTTCTCGGCTGTGTCGGCCGAGTTCTCCAAGGGTAGACAATGGCCAGGCTGCATCACCGCTCCACTCTTCTGTCACCTGTCAAGTCCACTTACCTCTGCCTCTGTCAGCTGTTACTGCAGTAAAACACCTAAGATGATCACCTCACACAGAGGAAAGGTTTCTTTGGCTTTCGGGTGGGGGATGCAGTCCCTGCTGGCCCGCCCTGTTGCTCTGGGCTTGCAGAGGCAGCAGGTCCTCACCCTGTGTGTGGCCAGGCAAAGCCGCTCACCTCATGGCCGGGATGTGAGAGAGGAGGGACTGGGACTTCTGCCCTTTCTGAGGGCAGCGCCAGTGACCAGAGACTGCTCCCTGCTGGGGACCCTGGGGACATTCACCAGCCAATCTTGAGAGAACAGCTTTGTGTCCATTATAGGGCCGATGCATGATTAAAGTAGTTTAGAGGGCAGCAACTGGTACGTAGCAGGTGTGAAGCAGCAATGTTTCACGGTAAGACCGTTACTATTCCACCTTACACGGACCTCGAGCTGAGCTGATGGTTCTGACGGTTCTGTAGCATCCCAGACGGCCAGCCACACCTATCTGCAGGTCTCTGCAGCTCCATCACACTCCACAGTGGACTACGTTCTCCGGCAGGTGACTGCTGTTTTCCGGAGCCTGGCATCACAGCAGGACTGTGTGTGCTGAATGCTGAGAAAGATGGCTGGAAACACACTCAATTGGCCAGGAGAACAGAAGGAAACACAACAAAATCAATGCAAATGCAGTAGCTCAGCATCTTTTTTTTTTTTATGGTACCGGAGATTGAACTCAGGACCTTGCACTTGCCAGGCAGGCGTGGCGCCACTGAGCTACATCTTGGCCCCTCAGCATCTTAATTTTTAAAGAAGATATTTTGCTAGAGATATTTTCTCTTGCATCCAAATCGAGTAGGAACCAACAGGAGAGAGAAGGAGTGCAGTGGAGGAGCCCCAAACATCAACACAGCTGGGCAGGGAGTGCTGTACGGAGCAGACAGGCATTATTTTTTTTGTTTTTGGCGCCAGGGATCGTACTCAGGACCTTGTGCTTTCAAGGCAGGCATGGTGCCACTGAGCTAAATCCCTGGCCCTACTGTGTTATTTTCTTGGTATGGAGACCAAGAGCCCATCTGGGACACACAGAGATCTGACAGCAGTTTGTAAATGCTTCAGGGATACCCTTACCACACTGAGCTGGAGAGGGAGCTTACTGATGGGAGGCTAAAACAGCCAATGAGAGAAGGGAAGGTGGGGCTTGTTCATAGGGATAAGGATAGTGACCCGGAACTTGAGAAATTCCACGTGGATGCCATTTTTGGCAACTTATAATTGTAATGTGTTATCAGTGTTTCGTTCTCAACAAATGCAAAATTGTACAGTTAACCAAATAATTTTATTGTAATCATTTACAGCATTTAGGCATTTTCTTTTTTTTTGGTACCGGGGATCAAACTCGGATCCTTCCACTTGCAAGGCAGGTGGTGGAACCACTGAGCTAAATCCCTGGCTCCTATAGCATTTAAATAATAAAGTGTTGCGCTGTTATTTCTGGCAGAGGCCCCACCCTTCCAGAGCTGTCCCCCGAAGTGACCAATGTGACCGGAAGCATCCGTCTTTCTCCCTGTGTTCTGGGTGAGTGAGACTCAGCAGGAAGAAGCCGCCGTCACCCCTGTGTTTTCTGAAATTCCCATTCTCCTATAGCCGTAAATCTTCAGGTCTGGAAGACAAAAGCCAGCATTTATTTCCCCATGAACTATTATTTCATTTTCTCATAGCTGAGGAAGGAAGATTATTTTTCCAATTTTATTTTATTTTATTTTATTTTTTTGGTACAGGGGATCGAACTCGGGTCCTTGCACTTGCAGGACAGGCGGCAGAACCACTGAGCTAAATCTCTGGCTCTATTTTTCCAATTTTAAAAGAAAATTAACTCTTTACTGAGAAATCTCCACAAACATTACGTCTAAATATTTGGTACAAAATACTAAAGCCAGAACATCACAAAATGGGAGTTCCATGAAAATGCAGAAGTTCTTTTGAAGGTATAATATGATCATCTTGTGCCTACAGATACATGCATTTAGTAAGTTAAATTCATTTTCTCTCTTCTAGTTTTGGACACTTTTTATCAACCCCTTGTCACAGAAAGAATTGTGATTTTTAAGTTTAAAATTCATATAAGGGCTGGGGATTTAGCTCAGTGGTTCCAGTGCCTGCCTCGAAAGTGCAAGGTCCCGAGTTTGATCCCCAGTACCAAAAATAAATAAATAAATAAACAAATAAATAAATAAATAAAATTCAGGGCTGGGGATTTAGCTCAGTGGTTTCGCCGCCTGCTGTGCAAGCACAAGGACATGAGTTCGAACCCCT